TTTTTTTTTCCTTTTTAAATCTAAACAATTTCCAAATGTTATTTAAATAGGTAGAGGGAGGAAAAGGAGCGAAGGGCGGAGGCGGCACCAGGAGAGAGGATGGTCCTCAGTGGAGGCTGCTGTCAGCACAACACAGGGACTAGAGAGTGGGGGCGTGGGAGGCAAAGCCGCGAACCTGTCGTCGAATTGCCACTCCCCGTCCCCCCACACAGGAGGATCAGAGAAAAAAGATACAGAGGGTCGAAAGGGAAGGCGGCGGAAAGAGCAGAGGATGGAAAAGGCGGGGCTGGGTCCCCGAGGGCTCTCTAAAGCCAGCACGCACCTCACTCCTCGTCGCCGCGCTGGGTCGCTAGCCCCCTCGCTCCGGCCCCCTGCTCGTGGTCTCGGTCTTCCTCCCCCGTCCTCTTCCTCCTCCTTCCCCGCGGCTCACCGCCTCCACAGCTGATTTGTCAGCGCCTCTCCCCGCCCCTCTCCCCGCGCTCGCTGCTTTCGCTGCCGCGTGCGCTTAGCTCCCTTTCTTGGATGGAGATGGGGATGGGGGTGGGGGAGCAGGTTGCACCTCCAACTGCAGACCCCCCCCTTTAAGGTCCGGGCGGCGAAGAGGTGGGCTGTTCCGCGCTTCACCTCGAGTTCAGGGTCACGGGGGCTCTTGGGGTTATCCGGCACAATTACGCTTGGGCTCTAGTCTCCCCCGCTCCCCTCACCACCTGCTTCCCTGTCTTGGGCTTTCCTTTGGTTCCTCTTGGGGACCCTCCCGTCAGAGTCACCACCAAAAACAGTGCCTAGCTCTTGGGAAGAAGCTGAGGGAGTCAGGCGGCTTTGGCAAGGGTGGTCACAACCAGTCCATCAGGAGCACGTTTCCTGGCATCATTGAGATCGTTACGGTCTAAGACACAATGTTAAGGGTCGCTTTTGTTCAAACATCCCCAAGATTTTCTTTTGCTCTTAATCTGGCAAGAGCCCGAAAGGGTCCCGCGGGTAGAAAGAAGACGACTATGGAAGAGTTACAGGTCCAGGAGGCTGGGCAAATCCTCTTCCCACCCCACTATCACCATTTTCTTTTCCACCAATCAGCGGATGCCAGACGCTGATTTTTTTTTTTTTTTCCCCATCTGTAGAGCAAGAAATAAATATTCCCCAGCCGTCGAAAACAAGAGATCATAAGACATTCCCTCTTAGAAATGGGACATTATTTCTAGACCCAAGAACATGGTCTAGGAGATAAATCCGGTGTGGTTTTACCCTCCGGGAGCATCATATCCAATTTTTGAAAGGCAGATTCTGCACACCACTCACCTTTCTGACTTCTGGTTCTGGTTGCACTCAGAGCTGACAGCCCCCTCTCCAGTTCCCAGCACACACACGTACACACTCAGACAAAAAGACGTACAAGCGCGAGCATCAAGACAATCTTTGCATAGGTTAATACATTTTCACCTCTTTCAGAGCTGAGTGGAGAACAGCTGTTCCCGGATCCCACCGGAATGGAGAACCAAGCTCCTCCCTCCAGCAGAAAGCCTTTGCTTTCTTTGCCTGGATTCTGAACAGTACTAGAAGGAAAAACAACTTTTTTTGCTGCATTTTTAAATTTTGTTTTGTTTTTATTTTTATAGGAAAAAAATGTTTTCTCTGACTCTTGTACTCATTTAGGTTCTAAATGTTGTGTAAAATGAAATTTAAGTTTTATTTAAAATTTAAGTAAAGACATTTTAGATATCCTTAGACCAAATACAACCTTTTGAAACCAGGAGGGAAAAGAATTAAATAATTATGTATTAAATATATAGAAAAGTACACACACACACACACACACATGTATATGTTTGTAAGAGAAAGAGATTTATTGCTTGAACTCCTTCACCCTTAGTATGCCTTTTTTTTTTTAAGTAGCCTTTGTAATGCAGTGGTTTATATTTTGTTTCCTTGGGATCAGAGAAAGAAGGCTGGACTTGGGAACTGATTGACTTTGAGAACTTATGCTTTCCAGTCTCCAGTTTCCCCTTTTGTAAATGAAGACATGAACTTAGAGAGAATTCCTCTCTTTCCAACTTTTTACTACGGAAAATATTCAAACCCATAGTAAGGTAGAGAGAATAAAGGACTCCCATATGAATATGACTCAACTGGGAAATTTTTCAGTACATGGTTGATCTTATCCCATCTATATGTCTGTCCACTTTATCACTATTAACCCCTCTTCTTTTTAGCAAATTCTAAATTTTACGTGTATATATTTTCAACTGTGAATAAGTCAGCCTACATTAATAAAATGCAACAATTTAAAATAACAAAAACATTAGATGATATTTTAAATGAAAATGCAACTTATATAGTGAAATGTTCATTTTTAAGTGTATTTATATCAGTTTTGAAAAATCCATGAATTAGTGTAACATCTCACTTTGGAGACATAGAACATTTTTATTAGCCCAGAAAGTTGCTTTGTACCCTTCCAAGTTAGGCCTCTTCTAGTTGTACATATTCCATAAAAACAAAATCTCATACTATGACCTTTGTTTTGTACCTCTTGGATGTTTTTTCATTCCGCATATTGGTTAAACTCATTTATGATGTTGCATGCATCAGTAGCTTTGTCTTTTACTAAAATTTGTTCTTTTTAGATGTACCTGATATTAGAGTGTATTTTGACATATTATACATACGTGGAGTATAACTTGTTCTAATTAGAATCCCATTCTTTTGGTAGTCCATGATATGGAGTTTCACAGGTGATGTATTCATATAAGAACATAGCAAAGTTATGTCTGATTCATTCTTCTTTTTTTATTGCTTTTTATCGTTTCATTTTATTATTGACAATAACATATGCTTTCCACTATGACACATCACATCCAGGTACCTTGATAGATTATGATGTCAATTATTCAATGTATTGTTTAATATGACATTTCATACTTCAACAGGAACCTCCTCAAGACCAAGTGCATTAAATTAAAGAGGTAAAAAATATTTTAGGTCCCACTAGCAGACCAAAGAACAAATTATTTCGGGTCATTCGTGCTTCTTGTAACAGCAAAATTCCAAACCCTTGTATGACATTTTATGGTTGGTTAAGAACTAACATGTCACTTAATAATAACAAGTGGGTAAGTTAAATTTTATGTAAATTTTGTAGATAGGTGATCTGAAACTCTGAGTTCACTCTTAAGAAGCAGCTGAAGCAGAGTACAGTGGCATACCCTGTAATTCCAGCAGGAAGTCGAGAAGGAGTATGACAAGTTTGTGGCCAAACTGAATAACTTAGTGAGACACTGTCTCAAAATTAAAAATAGCTGGGCACAGTGGCGCTCACCTGTAGTCCAGTGCAGCTCAAGAGGTTGAGATAAGAGGATCACATTGGCAATGTAGGGAGGCCCTGAGCAATTTAGCAGATCCTGTCTTAAAATATAGAATAAAAAAGGCTTGGGCTAGAGCTCACTGGTTAAGAGCCCTGAGTTCAATTTCTGTTTTGTTTTTTTTTTAAATAAAAATAAAAAATAAAAAGGACTGTGGATATAGCTTAGCTGTAGAACCCTCCTGGGTTCAGCCCCCAACACTGAAGGAAAAAAAAATGAGGCAGAGTTGAGATAATCTCTCTCTGAAGCCCACAGACTGGGTGTGGCATAGGGTGGGTAGGAACAAGGGGAGATCCAGCTGTGGTTAGACTTGCCTTTAAACTTGACTGTGACAATGGAAATCAAGAATTTATGTTCCTACAATACAGTACATTCATACTTGAAAATTAGGTTTGTCTCTATTAATATTCCTCAGTGAGGAGAAATGATTTCTCACTACCCACACAAAAGAAAAAAAATTAAATAAATTTTGTTATTTTGAATTAATTATAGTTCTTTTCATTCCTCAAAGCACTTTGAATGTAGTAAGTGTTCACTAAAGTTTTAATTATAGATAATATCAACAAGGTGTTATTTATGTTCTACCTAAAGTCAGAACACAGAGATAAGAGGCAGAGCTACTCAAAGACAAAGAAGGCAACTGGAAGTTAATACAGTTTTCTCTTTCTCTTTTCATCATGACCTTGTGTAAATCTTTAGCCTCTCTGACTATAACATTAAAACTTAGAGCAATTAAAGCACCTGTACCTCATAAGAAACATGGAAGAATAACCTCGTGGGAGCATTAACTACCACATTCATGTTGGTTTTTCTCTTTTATAAATGGAATCTAAATACTTCACCTTTCATTTATAGGATTGTTTTATCTGGTTTTAATTCAGTAATTTAGCTATGGATTAACACTCAGCTTTTTATCTCTGTAACCAAAATACATGACAAGAAAATTTTCAAAGAAGAAAAACTTTTTGGGTTCACGGTTTCCCGAAGTCTCAGTTGGTGGCAGACCAACACCATTGCTTTGGCCTGAAGTGGAGCAGAACATCAAGGCAGAAGGCCTTGGTAGAGGAAAGCTCAGATATTGGCAGCAGAGAAGTGGAGAGAGAGCAGAGCCAGGAACAAGATATAATCCCCAAAGTCATGCCCCAGTGACCTACTTACTCTAGCCACATCCATTCTACATACAATGACCACCCTGTAGTCCATTCAAATTATTGATCTATCAAATTGATTAATCCACCCATAAGGTTATAGCTCTTATAATTGCCTAAAAACTCCACCTCTGAACTGCATTGCTTCATTGGAGATAGTGCTTTCAAAACACAAGATTTTGAAGGAATATTTTTAGATCTAAACTAAAACATTAACATTCTATGAAATGCATCCTTAACTAAAATTTCTTTTATTGTCCCCATAAGAAGACTGAATTTTTAGGGTAACATGATTAACAAGAGGAAAGAATTGATTTTGTGTGTTTAAATGAGGAAAAACTAATCTTTATATTTGGATAATATTCCATATTTGCTGTGAACACAGAACCAAGGTAGTGTTGAACCTTGGACTATCTGCTTCTTATTCTCTGTTTGCACCTTCCCCTCATCTTCTGAAGTTATATGAGAGACATGAGCTAGAGCTCCAATAGGCTTCTCTTGTAATCTCCTGTTTTGGATGATGCAGGAGAGAAAAAATATTGCAGGGTTTTGGGATGGCATTGTGTATGATTTTGGGAAAGGGGTGCACTTAAGAGAGAGCATTACTCCAAATAAGAATAAAGTATGATGAACAGGGAGTGCAGTGTCCAAAGTTTATCTTATCTGACCCCATGGGCTGCTTCATATTGATTCTATGATACCATAGGCAGCAAAAATAATGAATAATAATGAAGAATGATAATAAATTCTGACTATAGGAAAATATCATGTGAACTGTGTGATATTCAAATGGAATAATTTTAGATATTCCTATAGTTCATGTGATCCTTAAAACATAAAGACATGCAAGATTAAGACTTTAAAAGATGGGGCTGGGGTTGTGGCTAAGTGGGAGAGCCCTTGCCTAGCATGTGTGAAACACCGGGTTCAATACGCAGCACCTCCTATAAATAAATAAAATAAAGGTCCATTGACAACTTAAAAAAATTTTAAAAAGACTTTAAAGGACAGAAAGGATATTTAAATATTTTAGAATCTGAATTTTCAAATGACTTTAAAATTACAAGGAAAAAGCGTCGATAAGCGAAAGAAATGCATTTAGCTTTGGTGAGAATGACAGGCTTCTGCAAGTGGAAGTACAAGTACAACTGGAATGATACTAGAGCTCTGCTACTTATTAAGATAACTCAGAGCAAGTGTCTCACCTCTCTAATCTCTAGCCTTTTCTTCCATGTAATGGTAATAACTTAGTTGTGCAATTGTTTTAAGGAATAAATGGTGTGTTTCTTAGCAGGGAGCCAGACATAGTGGAATCTCTCCAATATGAGTAGCCATTTTTGTCACCTCACCCCCATATTTTGGGGTTCCATGGGAAGAACTTTTTCTCAGTGGAGTCATTTTCCACCTTATATCCTGCCGTCCATAATCTCAGCTCATCAGCCACACACCTGAGGTATCTGGTATTCTCATCAATAACTTTGTTTTGCTATGGTGAGTAAAATATTTCCAACCAGGGATGGAAATTTGTAGAAAGAGGGAATAAGAGACATCAAAGAACAACGTGAGGGATAATTAATTAAAAACCTGCCAAATATTGTTTTTTGTTTCTCTCAAGTGTGGGTTAAAATAGCATAATTTGTAGCAGTTTGCATCAGTAGCCTGAAGAACTATATAGTAACAGTGACAGAATGAATATTCCCCATCTTTACTGACTTTTTACATCCTCAAATTTGACTTCTTAAAGGAGTAGTAGCAAAGTTCTATATAATGTTGATTTGTTAAGGGAGAAAAATAGAATGAGGCAACAATTCTGTTCCAAATTTGCCAGACTCTTCATGCCTCTGACTGAAAGATTTCAGAAGAATATCCAGTTCAAAGAAAAACTCAAACTCTAGCATCCCAGGAGAGTGAAGAATGGGCAGATTGA